GTTACTTCGGCATCATTTAGAAACGTGTATTACAATTTAATTACGATAAAATATGTTCATTGTGTTGTAGTTAGGGCGGTGGTGGCGAAGTCGATAGGGACTTAGCTTGGCAACTGGAAGGTCACCAGTTCGAGTCCCGGCAAGACCAAGTGCTACCGAGGTGTCCCTGAAAGGCACCGTTCCCTACACTGCTCCCCGGGCGCCGGACACGGCAGCACACTGCTCCTAACTAGGATGGGTCAAATGCAGAGGAACAATTTCGTTACATAGTACCTGTACTGTGAAATGACAAAAAGAGCAATTTATTATTAATTTATTAGTTGTAGCCCCCGAGCCAGCGCATCTTGTTTGAATGATGCGAGTAAACACAGCTGACAGCCGCGGTGAAACTCCAGCGTTTAGAGCAGGGGTCTCCAACCTTTCTTCATCTGAGAGCTACTTTCAAAAAATGAAAGTGGCCAAGAGCTACTTGCATCACATCGCTTACATTTATTCACATAGCCCTCATCAGTTGAATTAAGCTATACTTTTGTACACGTGTGAAATTGCAATACCTAAAGCTTATCAAAAATCTTAACTTCACATCAAGGTCCAAGAAAACGAAGATTTCTCACATATTATTATGGCCCACATAATAAGTACATCACTGAAAATGCACATAAATGTCCTTACAAGCATTTCACTCTTTTGTTAGTGAGATGAATGGCACTGCATGCAGTCCACCATACAGGTGTATGCTGGACCCACTTAGGTTCACTCTAATAGTCATTTAAATGTTCATCAGTCAGTATTGTTCTGTATTTAGATTTCATGACATTCATGTCAGAAAAAGCTGCTTCACAAAGGTATGTAGAACAGAACCAAATAAAGCAGACATTTTCAGTGCTGCTTGGTGAATGTTCTATAGTTTTCTGGGTCTACAAAGCTCCAGAAATGTTGTGAGTTTTGCTGAGACTTAAGCTGAACATTATTTTGGAGATTTATAACCTCCACCTCCACAGGATTGACACTGAACAGTTGTTCAGCCATCTTTTTCTTCTTCTTCTTCGTCTTGACATTGAATTATAAACCATAATAAATCAATTGTATAGGTCTAGCCTCCCTATATCTGTGTGTGAAAATGGTTCCATCCTCAAAAACAAAAAACTAATACTTCTGCAGTCTAGCTGCAGCTTCTAGCTACGGTCTTCTGTTAAAAAAAAAAGACACTGAATGTCTTGAATGTGGCATCACACACAGGACTTGAGTCTGAACACATCAGACAACAGGAGTATTTACAACAGCATTATAAAAACAAAAATAGTGCATGTGGGTGCACACTTACATTCTCTGTCTTACTGTTACATAAATCCCATGAATGTATGAGATTAAGTTAGCTTCATCATATCTCAATCAGTGATTAAGTGAATAATAAAGTTTCTATCGGGTCACTATCAGCCTGTCACTCATTATTTTCAGGGAGGGGGCGGGGTTTGGAGGAACGAAGAGGAGATGGTGATCGCGGAAGCTTTCCTCCTGCCTTCACAAACTTTACACAAGTATTTATCAACTGAAAATAGCAAGAGGACATTCATACTCTGCAATCCAAGACTTGATTAAATCCACCAAAAACCTGACATGACGATAACGAGTGTTTTTAAAAAAACACAAATCCCTCCCTGTGTGTCTCTGAGCCGCAGCGACAGGGCCTGATTCAGAGCGGGTCATTCTGCTGTTGGTTCTGGACTGGTGTTGGTGGAGAAAGCAGACTGCTCCGTGTGTGTTGTCGCTGTGCTGCTGTCACGTCTGTTCCTTGATCTCTGCGTCACCGACCATTTGATATTCGTGTGACAGAAAAAATTCTAAAATAAAAAAACGTTATTGTCCAGCCGCGGCCGAAAAATCAATAAGCAACCATACGCTATAATCTATAATCGAGCGGCGAGCTACTGAAAAGCTGCCCGCGAGCTACCGGTAGGTCGCGATCAACGTGTTGGAGAGCCCTGGTTTAGAGCGATGCGATAATAGCGATTATGCTTCGTTCACACCGGACGCGATGCGATGTTTGGGGGCGGCGCGATTACATTTAAAGTCAATGCAGAGACGCGGACAGACGCAAATTCTCTCCGACGGCGAGCATGAAGCGGTGGGCGTGAATTCCGCGGCGCGATTGAGGCGATTGAAGAGAGCCGCGACAAACACTCGAGTTCAATTTTTTCAACTCGAGCGTCATATTCGCGTGACGTGATCTCGCGGTAGCCAATCAGCGGTGAGGATCTCAGCCTGCCGTCACTGACGTTCAACCAGAAAACATCAGCCGTTAGCTGTTAGCAGTTAGCACACATAGTTCACAGCTCCTCATATCTGTTCAGAAACTGGACAAAAGTTAAACAAGTACAAACCACAGACTGTCTGTGTCATGGCGAATACAGTCGCTGGTTTATTTATGTCTGTAGGCCGTTGTTATGACGGAGCATATACAACGTTAGCTTAGCCTGGTCGATCCGATCTTTATTCAGAAAACAAGCATTTTAAAAGCATTTTTTTTTCGGTTTTTCGCCTAACGGAAATGTGGTGGCTCCTTTGACAGTTTGGTCAGAAACATGAACATGAGTAGCAATGTGTGTGCTTTTCCTGTTCCTCCTCGCGCATAGGAGCAAGTCCTGCTGCTGGGTTGTTGCCCTTTTACGGCCCTGTCCAGCTCTCCGTGTGTAATGGCCCAGCTCCTGGTATCTACTTCATACTCTGGAGACTGTGCTGGGAGATACAGCAAACATTCTTGTGACGGCAAGGAGGTGGCCACCTGTGCAACCTGAATGTGCTGCAGGTGCGTCCTCGTGCTCCAGGAGTGAGAAGAGCACTAGTCAAATGTAAAACTTGAGTAATATCACCCAGAAAGGATGAGCAGAGAGAACCGGTCTTTGGCCACCAGCAGCAAAACCATTCCCCTTTTTGGGCTCGTCTTGCTGTTGCCTAATTTGTCACAAATACAGGGGAATTTGATTCACAAATTGGACCTGTTCCATCCCAGAAGTTGAATGGACTGAGATTTAACCTGTGATGATTTAGTGTTCCCTGAAATGTTTTAAGCATTTGAAAAGCGCAATCGCATTTGTCAGACTTGCGTTAGAAGGACAACTTACCAACATAGCAGAAACACCACATGTCATTACTATGATGCTGAATGTACCAGACAATGATTCAATCAGATGCTGCTGCCATTTGTACCAAATGTAATTCCAACACTGAATATTTAGCATCTCTTAATTGAAAAAATCCTATTTATGTAAATATTTTTTGCATGACTCCAAACAAATAAAATATACTTAGGGCTAGTAACTCATGGTATCAATCAATGAATATAATAGTATAGAGTATGAATACATATAAAGAAAATATTTTTGAGTTTTTGTACAAGAACTAATTAGCAAAAGTGATTCCAAACAAAGAAAATAATATCTAAAACAAATGTCGTTGACACAGACCGGAACATACAAGAGCACTGTTCATCCAACAAGAAAAATACCAGCGTAAAGGGAACGAAAAACTACATAACAACCCCCATGGATTTTCAATCGCCACAGTGGAGTAAGAAGCTGAGAGTGTGGGAAGTGAAGAAAGGCCAGTAGGAAAGGTGCATTATGTTATTGAGTAAATAATACATTTTTATATCACACAGTATGACCTGGCAAATACATATTGGGTAACTGGATTTTGGCCCACTGTGGCTGACTATGGATTTATGGTGTCAAAGAATGTGATGCAATGCTTTGTAATTTATATTGCTGATGCAGCCAGATCAGAGGAAGGAAAAGTAATAGGATTGTTGGGATGGGAAAAGTAAGGTGATATACTATTGTTAGAGAATGTATTGTTGGTATTGTTAGAGTTCTACTAGTGGAAAATAGAGAGGTTAGCCTATTCCATTAAATCAAATTACTATTCATTTCTTACATTGCACTGTAACTTATATTTTATACCTTTCTTATTCTATTTTAGCCATTCTATGTATGTGTTTCTGTTGCGCTTTACTTTATCTGAATGCTTTTAATGTTTGTTTTGTTTGCCTTGTGTTGAAATGTGCTATATAAATAAACTTTTACCAGGGCCTAAATGCAGTCTTTAAAAAAAGGTACATCACACCAGATCACAAAATGTCTTCTAGAAATGAGAAAAGATCAGATCAAATTCAAGATTCCCATTTGTTGCCACCAAACTTAGACTTTTAACCTTAAGGCGTGAATACTGCTTTAAGAAATGAGTGGGTAAAAGGTAAAAGCATGATACTTTTAAGGAAATAAAAATAGAGATACAGCTGCTCACATGCTGACATCCACTGCCTGAATTCTCCTCTAGCCTGAATGGCTGCATTCCTCTCTACATTTCCCCCTCTAACACATAATAAAGAGAGAAGCTCTGACATCCACCAACTCCATCGCAGGGTCACAGTTTAGCCTGTCAGTCACACAGGCCATCATCTTATTGGCTTTGTCTACTACAGGAACAGCCTGCAGCTATATCAATCATCTTTATTATCATGACTTAAAAACCTTTGTTTGTTAACTTTTTACCCGGGCCCCTTCTTTATCCCACTCTCCAATCACAATTTCATGGGCAGTTCAGCAGGGCCAATGGGGAGGCTGAGTGGGTGGGGGGAGAATGCTTTTAACCTGCTGCATCTGGTGCTTTCCCGCTGCTAACCCAGTGGGACATGGTCACCTTGTATTAAAGGACCCTGATAGGGGGGCACCACTGCCTTTATACTATCATAATAGGGTGAAATGTGCTTGTTTTAAACATCTCACTTAGGTAGTTTTCCTTTCAGTGATTAAGACCAAGCACCTGTCTGAAGGAGGCAAAGGTAATTAAAATCATTCCGGATCTCACAGCTGTGAGTGTGAGTGTGAGTGTGAGTGTGAATGTGTGTGTGTGTGTGTGTGTGTGTTTTTTTGTGCTCCTTGCTGACCTGTTCTTATGAAGCTGCATTTCCTTTATAAATGTGCACCTGTGCATTTGTGTACCTTTTTGCTGAGGGCTACGCCATCCTCACAGTCCAAGACGGCACAGTCGACATCCAGCGAAGCTAGTTTCCTCAATTTCCGCTCATCATTGCCGGGGCAGTAGAGAACCGCCCTGCGGGGTATGTAGCGCAGTGAGGAGCCTGCCGAGTGGTGGTGATAACGCCCGGCCTCGGTATTCTGCCAGGCTGTGGGCAGGAGCCAACCCCTCTCCCTGTCAACACAAATATAAAACATACATAAGCACAGTGGCACAGGATGGAGCAGACACATGAGTTTGAGTCAATTTCATAAAGACTATAGTGCAGTGTCTGTTTAAACTGTGACTGTTCGGAACAGGCTGATTTCTTGGCCCTCAGTACTGACTTTCTCCAGAACCGCTCATCCACACAACAGAGTGCTTCCATTTTAGTTAAATACTCTCGCAAAAAAGGCTAAAATGCATGTCTTTGGTGCATACATTACTCATAAAAACCCGGGGTATCAATACAGCGCTAAGGGCAATGAATAATTAAAGGTTGTTACTGCATTCATCTTCATAATATCTACAGTGTTTATATTATACGCGAGGATGCAGAAGGAGGTCTCTTCCTCAACACTAGAGTGAAAGTCTGGAAACGTTTCATTTTGGGAGTTCTGTTTGCCCTTCAGCTGTCTATTGAAGTGAATGAGACACGTTGACCTGTGCTTTGGCTCCCTTTGTTGAGAACAAACTCACCCAAACACTGAGCCACTCATATGCTAATGTTGCCAGACTGCTGAATATCTGGGCAGGCAGGAAGTGAAAGAGTAGGGGTGGTTGGAGCTGAGTCATAGAAACATTTAAGTTTAGGGAAAACAGAGACTGTGTTAAAAAGGAACATGTTGGCTATTTCAATAATACAATAAAATAAAAGTGTAATATGCTTCACAAACATCTTACAATATGAGGTAAATAAGCCATGTACAATTTAGCCACGTAAAATAAAATCAAAATATGTTTTTAAATATGTTTAAATATGTTTTTAAACGGTCTATGATAACGGTATCATAGACCGTTTATATACATAATTCTCATTTCCAAGGTAATTATAAAATTGAAAAGATCCTCAATTTTTTTTATTTGATTGTGAAATATTAGTTAAAAAATGTGGCAACAAAGTGTCTGACGGCCATTGTGTTTTTTTAGATGCACTGACTGAGCTACTGTGTGCCGCAGCAAAACGTGAATTAAGTTCATGTTTTCCAGCTTAACAGCATGAACAATATTTACTTGGATTGCCACACAATGAAATACCAGGCTGACCAGTTGTTGCCATGCTCATCATCAAATCTCCGACCTATAATAATCACAATTACTGCACACAAGTTTTAATTATTTGCTCCGTTAATCAAGCTTCTGAAACAACTTGCCCTTATAAATGGCTAAATGTTGGGATCAGAATGATCCAATTACAGCGAGAATCAGCTTCTCCCACCACCAACTCTCGCTGGGTATCAGAAGCCCTTCGAGGGATCATATTTGTAATTAGTGTCCTTCTTAGCCTAAGGAAGAAGGGGGCTACTCTTTCTGCTGAAAAGGGGGGCTGAATTATTCTCTTCTGCACTCGAAAAAGGAGCAAAAGTCACTTCAATGGCCACTTAATCCTGTCAACTCCGCTTCCACATGCCCTCCAGTCCCAATCAGGCCTAATCTGTGCTGAGATGGAGCGGTTGTCGCAGGCAGTTCAAACCAATCCAGGTTGCTTCCAGCACTTTAGTGCTTCCAGGTACAAAGAGCCTACAGAGACAGACTCACAAAAGCTTTAGGGAGAAAATATTGCAAAGGTTGGGCTCTAATACTATAGGGCATATTGTAAACCATTACAACAAGGGTAATAGGATGGAGGTGGAAGGGTTGAGTGGTAGGGGACAAGGGGGGTGTTGAGACTTACATTATATTAGTCTATTATGTGCAAATCACTCAGAAAATAATTATAAAAAGAACTATTCTGACCAGCTTCGAGACAAATATATTATGAGAAATTAAGTAGTCGAGTGGAAGTGCCTTGATGTTGGCTGGAGTCAAAAGCAAAAGGTTGATAACAGGGATGAAAAATGTTCCCCATAATTTGACTGTGCTTTCTACATTTTTCTTGTGTAGCTCACAGGAGGTCTCATCCTAAAATAAACTGGCATGTCAGGAGTAAAAATCTAACAATTCAGCTCATTCTGAGTTTTCAAATGAATGCCAAAGGCATAACAAAAACTTTATTCTCCTTCAAGAAACAGTATAAAATCCAAATTTCGAGTTAACCATCATTAGAGACACAATTGTGAGATGCTGAAACATAGCCATAATAACTCAAAACAACTGTGTCATTTTCCAAACCAAATGTAACCACATCAGTTTATTTACTTTTATCTTGTTTAATCTTGTGTTGTTTTAGCATTAGGGTTTCACAATTAAGGCGTCGGCCCCACGAGGACGCATACGGTAGTTTCCGTTACAGTTTTGTGTCATATAGACCGTTCGGCCACACTAGGACGACAGAATATGGCAGTAAACGACTACGGTAACGATAACGGGTCCCGAGGTGGATAGAATGGCATACGGAACGCTCTGGGGGGTCAAACGGCTCCGTGTAATCGCCTCTATACGATCATTTTCTGATAACGATGAAATAGCCCCGCCTCCCTCTCCCCAGTCTCCTGTGATCAGCTGCTGGGCTGTCAGAAGAGGGGGAGGAAAAGAGAGGCTCCGTTCGTTTATTATTCTCATATTATTATACAGAGTCGTTATCATTTTTTTTTTTAAAGCTCAATAAATAACAAAGAAGACCTCTGACCGGCACTTTTCTAATTTTGTACGGAAGATTTCAACTTTAACGGACATGTTGACCGGCGAAATTTTTTTTTAATGGAAACTCTGCCGCACGGTTCCCTCGCCCCTTGGAGGAGGCGGAGAGGTGGGTGTTTTTCATCTGCAGGTGGACTACCGGAGAGATATACAGCAGGAGAACACGCCGTCCACCGCGGAGAATAAACAGAAGGGCAACCATGGTCCGGGGTCTTCTTCGCTGCTTTTGGTGGAGGAAGTTACAGCGCCACGTACAGGCTCGGCATATGTACTGCAGCTTTCCCAGCGAAACGGAGCTGTCTCGTGTGAACAGACACTTTCCGGTGTCGATGGCACACACACACACACACACACACACACACACACACACACACACACACACACACACACACACACACACACACACACACACACACACACACACACACACACACACACACACACACACACACACACACACACACACACACACACACACACACACACACACACACACACACACACACACACACACACACACACACACACACACACACACACACACACACACACACACACACACACACACACACACACACACACACACACACACACACACACACACACACACACACACACACACACACACACACACACACACACACACACACACACACACACACACACACACACACACACACACACACACACACACACACACACACACACACACACACACACACACACACACACACACACACACACTTTTTTTTTTATTCACAACATCCTACATGTGGTGGACATATCATCATTAGATCACTAAATTCTTGTGTTCTATACATTTAACAGTCCCCAAAGTACCATATGCACCCATGTTTTTCCCTCTACCTTCCTTCCTTTACATGAAAGGTTATGATAACACAGGGTTGTGTGGTTAAATTAGCAGCTGTAAAGTGGTGAGACATGGCCACAGCGACTATGTTTACTGGTCTGAGATCAGAGGTAAGTGTGTGTTAGTGGGTTTATATGGTGCTGGATAGGACTGGTTCTCATTAGCAGAGAGGCTGCAGTAGACAAGGCCCAATGGCATTAGAAGGAGGAAGCTGAGGACAGGGGGTGGAGTGTAGTGAGCATTTTGTTAGCCTCAACATGGGTCATGATTATTGCAAAGCCAAAAGTACAGTATTGAAGCTGCTTTATTAGCAAGTTATTATCATAAACAACAAACTTCTCCAATCTAGCCGAGCAGATTTGTGTACCGTCTTATTCCAACATCTGAGTGTATCTTAACAAAGAAGTGAGCTGGTTTAAAATCTACTGATCTTCAATCCAACAGAATACCGTCTGATGATCTGACTCTCACCGTACGGTTCTCTGTAGTGTCCAACTACAGTAAATCCACCTTGAACCACACATCCTTGAACTACATATCTTATCTTCCCGCTCTCACACAGTCACTGTTGTACATTTTCCACATTCAGCTCCTGTTTCCCCAAGTTTCATCTTGTTATCTCTGAAATCCCCTGTCATGTAATCCAGACAGGTGCACTAATATTCCTCAAGGTAACAGTGACTATGCTATTTCCTAAGTCCTAAGAAATGGCATACTGTGTATGTATCTGGCATTTTAACATCAATACATGCTTCTGGCATGTGGGGGGTCTGTGAACATTTTCAGCAATTCAGTATCAGTCATTTTAGAAAACACATAAGCACAACATTGGTGTGGTGATGAAACCCTGTACAGTAGAGTACAGAGCCTCAAGGGAATCAGAATGTAACCAAAAATAAATTGATCTGTGTGTATAGTTACATTTAAAGGGGACCTATCATGCAAAATGCACTTTTTGATGTCTTTTATACATAAATATGTGTCCCCGGTGTGTCGGGGAACTCACGCAGCATCAGAAAATAAAACCCTCTCTCTTTTCCTCCGTACCCAAATCTCTAAAAACGGGGCTACAACGGAGCTGATCCAGATTTGCGTCCGATATGACGTAATATCGGAAATGTAGGCTGGCTTTACACCCACGGGCCTATCAGAAACAATGCCCGACTGTTTTGGACGTAATATGGTCGGTGCATGTTTACATTAGCATCGCTAACACTCAGAGCTAACCTGTACTGGAGAGCATGTGTGTGAAGAAGCAGGAAATAAAAAGGAACTCACCTTGTGGTATAACCGGCAAGAGAGAAAGCCTTTGAGCTCCATACTGTTTCAGAAATAATCCTTGATAATCCATGATATGGCGTTTCATCACGGCAGTATTTAGTTTAGACGGTAGCTGCCGGGTCCCGTATGAGCTCAGCCCCTCCTCTTTATTTTTATCACTTTTTCTTTTTTTTTAAAGCTTTATACCCCAAATCAGCACTTTTGAAACAGGAAGGGAAATAGAGGGATATGAGGCATGGCTAGA